TGATGTGAATTGGAGCTATAGAAATAAACTGAATAGAATTGAAAGCGTTTTTCTCAATAAAATATAAAAGAAACCTGAAGATGTTCTAAAAGGCTGAGCAGCTGCGGTCGAACCTGCAGCGTTTCTAGAGAGAACCTGGGATGAACTCTGCAGACTCAGCATTGGGTAAATATTTAGTTTGGAACTGGATCTTCTGCCGAGGTTGAAAACTGAGAATCTGCTGCCAAAAAACATCAAAGATTAAAAAAAATCATCAATCGAGGACAAAAAAAAAGACCCAGAAGATCCACAATGTTTCCTCGATTAAAGTTTTATTTCCTCCCTCCACAATTTTCTCCAAAGATTTCAGTCACAATAAAAATCAGCCCCACCTAAATATTTTTATTTATAAATTAAACATTTATTCTGGCTTTTTTTATGCCTGATCATAAAAAATCTTAAAAGGATTGAAACTAGAAAAACTAAACGTAAACGTAGCGTTTCTTCACGTGTGCGGCGGCGTGCACGTCCGCAGCCACCTACAGGAAACCAGCAGAGGTGCAACACAGGAAGCCAGCAGTCCAGTGGAAAGAGGGAGTTTATTTTTTGGGGAAACAGCAGCAGAGACCTTTTAGAAATAAATAAAACGGAGACAGCCCACAGATCAGCCAGAACGCATCGGGACGCCTTCTCTTTTTGGACCACAGGGGGAGCCGGAGCAGGACCTGAAACTACGGAGATCCTTCCAAGCATCCGTGGCTTCTCTAAGGCACCAGATGAGGAAGCGTTGCCATTTGGACCCTGCAGAACCGCATGTTTGGCATCAGGAAGTGAAACAGGAAAGAACCAAAACCGGAGCGGGAACCAGTGGAGGTGTAACGATACGACGCGCCGTCAAACGGAGGATAGGATCCCTGTTTGGATCCAGCTGGGAATCTGGTTCCGGATCCCTCCCAGCCTGCAGGTTCTTTAGCGTAAATATCAACCAGCTGTAGTGTGGGTGGTACCAGAACCGTTTACATGAGGTTCTGCCGGAGCAGCAGAATTAGGACAAAACAACCTGCAGAGCAGCGGAAGATGAGGCTGGAATATTTCTGGGATCCGAGGAAGTGGCGTTCCAGCGGAGGGGAAAAAAAAAACAAACCTGGAATGATTTCAGCAACTTTTCCTCTGCAAGGATCCAGACTCTGAAGCTTGGCGTTCCAGAGGAGAATCCTGCTGAGGTTCCGGGTCACAGAGGTCAGAACCAGCTTCACGCCGATCCCAGACGTTTGTCCTCAGAACCCAGAGAATAAACTGAGACGTTTAGAGGCTGCAGCCTGTCTGAGTCCAAACTGTACGGTTACACCTCCACAGTCTGCTGAACACGAACCCAAAGGGGTTCAAAGCGAAGCAGCGCAGCGTTTCACAAACAGGAAGCTGCTCCAGTGAACGGCGGCGGGCCGCTCCGCTCCAATAAACCCAAACACATCCAGTCCCAGACTGGACAGCCACTCTGAGGACCTCACAGAGGAAAAAAAGAGTCAGTGCTGCCAGGTGAGACCCTCCAGACATCGTCCTCCACCAATCAGCACACAGAGCCGAAGGGGGCGGGGTCATACATCCAGGGAGGGGTCAGAGGGGGGGCGGCGCTCGGCTCCTCGGCACCGCTCCACCTTCTTGATGACTTCTGACACGACGCACACCGAGGAGGTGAGGCTGAGCAGGAACAGCAGGTCTGCAGGAGCAGAAACACTAAATATTATACAACTATCGTTAAAGTGACAAAACTTTACAAAGAAAAATCTAAACTATTAAAACTGAGGTAAATTTTTTTCTTTATGCAATTTTAGCTTTTTTTAATTTTTTTTATTTAGGATCATTTTAGATTAAAATTATTTTACAACAGAAGCAAAAAACTTCCTGTTTGTTGATATTCTGCAGGGTTCCTACAGCATAAAGCGAGTTAAATTCAAGACTTTTTAAGACTTTTTAAGGACCTGCAGGAAGCCTGTTCTGAGACTTGATCTGGTCACTTTCTAACAGAATAAACGTCCTCATTTAATATGCAGAACGCTCCACTCCTGTCTGGGTTCTTCTGACTACTCGCCGTTAAGCGTCTGCTGGTAGCCATGATTAAAGGACTCAGATTACAGAGCGACTCGAACATGAGTGGAAAACAACCGAGGCAGTTCTGAAAGTATGAGGACGGCCAGGAGAAGCTGCTCACCCAGGATGCTGAGGCTCTCCGTCTGGAAGATGCTCTGCAGAGGAGGGAAGTAGATGACGAGCAGCTGCCCCATGATGGAGGCCAGGACGGCGTAGCAGAAGGTTCTGTTGCTGCACAGACCCATTTCATGGACCATTCGAGTCTGAGGAGACACGGTTCATAGATCAGCTGTAGACCTGGAGGACGGCTTTCACTGAGAACTCAGAAACTCCTGAGGTTCTGGTTCCGGTTAAACGGATCGGAACCCAGAGGGGCGGGTCTACCTGAGAACGCGAGCTCAGAGCGTTGAACATGTCGAAGAAGACGAAGCAGGTGAAGGTCATGGTGGTGTCTCGAGGAGTGATCACGTTGTCCTGCAACTAAAACCCAAAAGACACAGAAACCGGGTCAGAGCTTGAAAGCGGGTCGGATCAGAACCAGGCAGGCGGGTCGGGAGAACCGGGTCGGTGGGGCACCTCTCTCCAGAAGACAAACAGCGTCCCGCAGACGATGATGAACGCCGACACCAGAACTTTAACCAGCAGGCTGCGGGTCAGGATGCTGTCCTTCACGTTCCGAGGCGGCTTCCTGATGACGTCACGGTCCACAGGCTCCACCCCCAAACTGCAAACACAGAAGTCAACCAAATTATATACTTAGTCGTAAGTCGTAGGGAAGCGGCCGTTCCAACCGTTGTATTTCCGAATTCTCCCAGTGGTGCCCGACTTTACGCGAGTGAATAAAGTGAATGTGATTGGTCGATTATCAAGGGGGCGGGATTGTTGTGGCGGAAGGTTCGCAAGCTTTTTGGTTGTGGCTGGTTTGTCGGAAGCATCTAGCTAACCAGTTAGCATCTTAGTGCTAGCAGGTTCCCAATGGGAAATTCCATTGGGACCAAGTAGCACTAAATTGG